CACACACACACACACAGCTGGAGGAGGATGGTGAGGGGACAGACCCACAGGATTGGCTGTAATCAGGTCTGATGCAGGAGCTGTTTTACCCCGGCGGGTGGAGGCAGAGGTGGTGTTTTTGGGTGGATGTCTTCTGCACTGCAGCTCTGATGGAGGCTTCAGATGAGTCATGCTGCTGCTGCATCACCATGGCAACAGAGAGGAGGGAGGGAGGGGGGTCTCTGAGTGACGCTGCACCGGAGGAATTTTCCAGATCAGACCGTCACTGCACGCGCTCAGAGCAGCAGCAGAGCCAGCGCCTCCTGCAGGCTGCAGATGTCACTGCAGGTTCTGGATCTGATCCAAGCCGGAGCGGAGTGTCTCAGGGAAAACTCGGAAACTCGTCCTGGAAGCAGAGTGTGCACTAAAAACACATTCACAGCCAATCACAGCTGATCACGCTGCAGACACATCCGTGCGTGCTCAGCTCTTCGGACTGAAGCGGCGTGCGTTACTCAGGCTGGGAGCGCAGCAGTGTGGAGCGTTGGAAAGCTCTGGAAAAGATGCCGTGTGATTGGTTCAGTTTATTTCAGAACCATCTGGATGAATTGTCATGAAAATGTTCTCAGAGGTGCACTTTTAGGGTGGGGACTCGATTTTAAGTCTTTCTCCTGGAAAGTCGACTCAGAGTTCCTCCTGTTTGTCTTTTCTGAGGACTTCCTGTTACATCCTGTTCGGGAGCATCAGGAGCCGCTGAGGGGAAAAGCTGCTCTGACTCATCAGGTGCTCTCATGTGTGCGTGAAGCACGTTCAGATTCCCGGTTCAGTGGCACTAACGCTCATTTAGACTCGTCTGCTTTTACTTCACTTTGACCTGAGCGTGTCTGAGGTCGCCCGGTCAGACCCGGCTTCCTCTGACCCAGGTCACCTGACAGGAAGAGCTTTTATTGTTGACACCCCGCCCCTGGGTCAGCCCTGGCCCGGGTCTGAGTGAGGGGTACCGGATGAAACGAGTTTCAGGCGTGTCCGAGGACCTCGACGCGTCTCTGCTGGAGCTCGCTGTTTGTAATGGGGCCTCTGATTGGATGTGACTCGTCCCGCCCCTCACAGCAGACCGTTTCCAGGTCAGCAGTGAAATCACGCTGGCCCGCCTTTGTTTCCCAGCTCTGTGATGTAACTGTGACATCATCAGCGACAGCGCCCTCATTGAGCCGTAAAATCTAGGCCAGGACTGCAGTCAAGGTAACCATAGCAATGGGATCAGTAGGCTAAGCTGTGACGCTGCTGGGGCATGCTGGGAAATGTAGTGAGCTCTGCCAGCTTCTCTCGTCAGTGTGCTGAAGGTAATGATGAGTAAATACGAGTGGGTGTGTGTGAGCGACACACACCTGCGGTCACCTGCAGCATCACTTCTTGATTTTTCTGGCTGAAATGTTTTTTGCTCCCAGTGTCTACAGCTGTTGGAGCAGAGTCAATGTGTGAAGGAGGACACCGAGCCGTGTCACTTCCTCCGTTTGAAGCTTTAATGAGTTTAAACGTGTGTGTGTGTGTGTGTGTGTGTGTTCAGCCCGTTGAACCACTGCTGCTGATCTCATCGGGACACGGTAACAGAGCAGATTTCCGATCTCGGGCCGTCGCTGGCTCAGTGACATAACTGTGATCAGCAGAGACTCGTGTGAACCTTTCACAGAAAGGTTTGTGCACGTGTGGAAACGAGGCCCGACGGATAAAAGCTTAAAATCCCATTAGCTGGTCCAGGATCAGTGCAGGTGAAGTGACGGAGGAGGACTCCATCATGAGGTCGGCCTGCAGAGAGCTCCTGATACTTTAACCTTCTGTGGTCACGGTAACAACGGTAACAACCAAACTACTGTAAATAATACAAATTATAACAGACAGCTCGTTATAAAAGTCCGAGTACATCACACACACGAAATATCAAACAGGCTGTAACCGCTGCACCGTGTGCTGTGCATCGAGTGGAGGCGTACAGGCAGGAAGGGCTTCCTGTGTCGTTCAGAGGTGCATTATGGGTAATGTCTGTGACTGGCCAGCACCTCACGGAGTGGGGGTGAGGTGTTGTCCACCATTGTACTTATCTTGGACAACATCTGCCTCTCTGACACCACCCTAAGGGTTTCCAGCTCCGCCCCCACAACATTACTGACCTTGTGATCAGTCTGAGTCGTTGCATCACGTGACATCACGGGTACTCTGACTCATCCAACCGTCACAGAGTGACCCGAAAACCTCTGAAGATGGAGGTCTGTGTGCAGAGGGTGCCGAGGAAGGGGAGAGGGCGGTCCCCTGGTGGTGGCGTGAGGCGGTCCTCTGAAAGCTGAATGAATAAAATCCCACCGAGTTTACCAGAGGTCAGATTTGTTTACCGTGTGTTAAAACAGCTGTTAGATCTGACGGTCCGTACTGAGCATGCTCGCATGCAGGTCAACCGTCTCATCTCAGGCGGTCGTGTGGCTCCTCCTCCCTCATGAGAGCAAGCGTTTCACATCTCTTCTCTTTTCTCCCTCAGGTTCTCTGCGAGGATGCGGCAGTAAGCATGCTCAGAGCCCTGATCGTTACCATGGCGATTACCAGCAGCCACGCGTGCAGCGGTCAGGAGAACTGCTCGGCCGATGGCGACGGCGAGTCCAAAGACTACTGTTACTCGGCCCGCATCCGCAGCACCGTGCTGCAGGGGCTGCCCTTCGGCGGCGTGCCCACCGTGCTCGCACTCGACTTCATGTGCTTCCTGGTGAGTTGCCGCCACAGACACGGAGGATAAACACGCCTCCCTTTTTGTCCTCGCATCACTGGCGTTAGGCGTG